CTAATTAATTTAATATATTTATACGTCAAGTAAAAAGTTTATGAACAAATATAATATATTTTTTAAAATATAATATTTTTTGGTAAAAAAGAAAACAATTCTTATTTTCCTTTTTTTCAAAAAACACATATTTTTTAAAAAATATTAGCAAGATAAGTTGTGTTCTACTAGTTTTATTGATATTGGTATATTAATGAATAATTTAGAATTTTTTTAATTCATTTAATACATTTATTAAATAACATGTAAAATATCTAAATATTAAAATTAAAAATACAGTGTTTAATAAGAACTAGTAGATGCTATAATAAAATAATTTCGAAAGTACAATGATGTAGTAAGAAATTACATCACTATAGTATATGTAGACAGCTTACGTGAACAATGAGGTGGCATGGAAACCTAGTATAATGGATAAATTTAAATCAAAATGTTACTCAATGCTATAATGGGTAAAATTTTCAAAGTACAATGTTCTAATAAAAAATAGTTTGAAAGTACATTGCAGTAATAAAAAAATTGAAAGTAAAATGTTATAACAAAAAAATTTATGAAAATAGATTGTTATTTTGTGTATTTTATCCAATTTAATATTAGACTATAAGAATATAAAGCCCATAGGCCAGTGAAGAAAACCTATATCATTGAATCCAATAAAGCCCATGAGATTGAGAAAATATTTAAAACCTATTCGACCCAAAACCCAATAAACCTAAAGCCCATTTAAAAACTTGCTGCCCGGTTTTTAATTGGTTTAGGGATGTTAAAAGTATTTACAATATATTTTTTAAAATATAAGAAGTTAAAGATGTAGGGTTAATTTTTTGCTTTGACAAGTAGTAAAAGAATTTAAATTTGGAAAACTCTTTAATAATTATCGCTTATTATTTTTCATGTTTAAAAAAAAATTTATTACATATATCTAATGTTTTTCATTTTTCATTATTTATATATATAATTTAAATTGATTATTTATATATTTGTTTATTATATTCTTACGTGTTCTGTAATCAGCTATAGTGATTTATGATTCTAGATAAAACAGAATGCATCAACTATAAAACTTTGAATTAGGTTACACTAAACGTAAAAAAAATTAAGAGGTTGTTTGACAATTGTTGAATGGTTTGATATAGAATGATTAAGAGTCTCTTATAATATGCAAAATGAAATATAATTGTTTGGTAATTATTCAGAATGAAATTAAGGTGCTGAATGGTTAAGGGAGACATAAAATACAAAATCATTTAGAGGGTTTTAGAACCATTAATTTTTTTTGCCAAACAAGATTCACCTTTTAACAATTCAAAAGTTAACTCTTAACGAAACTATTAAAAAATAAACAAATAATATTTTAGTTGATTATGAAATCATAATAGTTGATTTTGATTTTAAAAATGTACAAGATCTGTGTTTGAAACATAATAATGCCTAGTGCCTAGTTCTTTATCTTTTTGTGAAAAGATGTCCATAGTAGTGTGAATTTATCACCGAAGAAAGAGGAACTATTGATGTTCACTACTAAAGTATTTAACTATTATCTTATTATTATGGGTGGAATTCTTGTGAGAAAGTAAGTTATGATAGAAAACATAAGAAGAGATCTACATCTTTGAATCAATCTTAATTGAATGTCAACACTATGAGGTGTATTCATTTCTAAAGCACAATTCATAGGTGAGGATGAGATTAAAACTGATCAAGTGTTAAGTTCTTACGTTTCTCACTATAATTTTTTTTTTCTTCACAAAATCATTTGATTATATATGGTACATTGTATTTATTATGTGATTACTTTTTAATTTTTATTAATTAACTTATTTATTCTTATCAAACGATAAATCATACTAAATTTATGAGCTTTAATTTAACAACATAAATTTTAGGTTTATTTTTATTTGAATTGTGTTTATAATCATTTTATATTTCCATACTTTAAGTATTTTTTTTAATTCAGTAAATAAAAAATTTAATAAGTAATAATTTAACTTTTTTACATAGCACTTTTATGTAACGTTCTTCAGAATTTTCTTACTACTGTGAGAATTTCACACAACTTTTCTGCTGTCAGGACTCCTCAACAAAATGTATCTCTAGAAATTGTTGCAGACTTTCAAAATCCTAGTGTTTCCAGAGATAATGACACTACAAGTTCAAACCAACCTGAATCAAGCTAAAACATGTTTGTACCTTTTGAAAATGTTGTCTCAATCTTAATTCATCAATCCCAGAAAGTGCTACACATAATTCTAAACCTAACTATGAACAAGCTAGTCCAATTCTTATTTTTCATCTTTCTCTCCTCTCAATTCTAGTCTCCAAATACACGACTTATTCAATTCAATCATTGTTTAAAACATTAAGTTAAAAACAAAAACCGTTTTTAATAACTAGGTAAGTAAGTCATCAAACTCATTAAGTAAAAAATGAACATGCCTTCGGATAATAAAAGGCCATGCTCATACATCTTAAATTGTGTAAGGTATTATGAATTATTGTGAATCAAAGCAAACAAAACCAATATATCGTACCTGATGGTAAGGTTTGCGGGGAAAGAAATAAAATGTACGCAGACTTGGTGTATCTTCAAAAGTAGAGCTGTTATTTCTGTAAAATCAAAACAGTATGTCATACCTAAATGTAGAGTTTTGCAGAGGAAAAGATAAGATATACACAAACCTAACACGTACCTTTAAAAACAATGCGGTTGTTTCTGTAAAGAATATCGGTCTATGGAAAGTATGAATTACTTAGTGACACTTGTATAGCATCTTACCAGTAAACATCTTTCCCCAAAATACCCTTGTGAAACTGCTGCTGCTGTTGTTCTTCTTTTTGGAAGAATCTTTACCAATTCTCTTTTTAAGATTCATATTCTCTTGTTTGAGCAAATCAACAGATAAACTTAGTTGTCTTATTGCTTCTCTTTTCTCTTCATCTTTCTGAGCCAACAACTCCTTCTCAAACTTGTTTTCTATTTTGATTTTTTCAATTTCTTCCCTCAGATTCTTCACTTCACTCGAACCGTGTTCTTCCGCCCGAACTTGATCATCATCTTCTTTGTGTTCACGATCATCGTTGTTCTCGGGTTCACGGGAATCTTGATCATGGTCGAAGTCGAATGACTCAGAATAAGTGTCGTAGAGGTGACTACTACCGGAGTCGGATTTGGTGGCGTGATCATAACGTAGAGCTAGTGAACGATGGGTTCGATAGATATCCTCAAGAAGGTTAATAAGCTCGGGTCGTTTCTTGTAATACATCTCTGCTCGTTCTGCGAAAGAATCCGCATCTTCTTCGATGATTTTTAGCATGGATTCTGTTTTCTCATCAAGTTCTGTGAATCATGGTTCATATATGTCATTGATTCATTGAAAACCTCGTACAGTATCCATCTATTTCAAATCAAATTGGATCAAATACAGTCAAATGAAATACAAAGGCCATAAGTTGTAAAAGTTGGACACCATACATAACTAGAAAATCACCGATGTCATTGTGTTTTGGTACGTGGGACATGACTGCATAAAAACTTCTTGTCTCATTTATTTGTTCACATTCGACTGGGGAACGACAAGAACGCAGTGTTAAAAATGCATTTTTTCCATCTCACCAAAATAGATGGAACAATAACCTGGGAGATATGGTAAGATTGGTAAAATTTACTAAACTGCCCATTCAAATTATAAGCCTAAAAGCTGTTACAATTCTTTCATCCACTTACCTTTGTCTCGCATGTTTTGTTTTGTCTAGTCTAGTCTAGTTCAATTCCATATGAGGATACACCTAATGAGCAAACATGTTCAGGCTGAAAATGTAGCCAGTTTGATGTAATTTTGGTGATTGCTCTAAACTTTTTTCACTGCAAGGTCTTGGAGAATATCCTCACACAACAATGTTAGAAGGAAAAGTGAGAAATTTAAATATAAATGGTATATTTATAAAAGTGAATCTTCCCTTTCCCTTTTCTCTGATTCTAGAAGATTGAAAAATTATTTCATTTCCATTCCTTTCCTTCACTTCCTTTTAAAGAATAGTTTCCTTTCTTTTCCTTCCATTTTTTCCCCTCCCCCTTTTCTTTTCTCCCCAAATTCAAGAACAGAGTGTAGATGTCAAACAGGTGGCTGAATATTGAAGATATCAACTACATATATCACAACACAGTGGTCAAGTGATTCAAATTTTGAGCCCCAAGTAACCCATGATGACTCCTATTAGAAAGGAAGCAAAGGCATCAAAACACAGAGAAATTGATTTACCGGCAAGAGTGGATCGGAGCCATGGAGACTTTCTTGTGATACTAGTGTTTTGTTTGTCAAACCACCACCAGTAAGCAGACAACTTCCTCTTTGAATCCACCATTTTCTCTTCACTCAAAATGTCTCAATTTGCCAAATCAGAAATAAAAAAAAAACAATGAAATTGCTTAATGAACATTGATACAGCTGCAAACAAGTAGCATTAGATTATAGGAAATTAAGAAAACCTATTCAAAAAACGGAATTAATTGCGGAACGACATAAAGTCGTTCTACACATCGGGCGAGAACATCTATGCCATTCGACTTGCTACAAAATCCTTAGATCTTACAAACACCATGGAAATCAGATTAGGGCCAGAGCATCTATGCCATTCGACTTGCTACAAAGTCCTTAGATCTCACAAACACCATGGGAATCAGATTTCTGTTACAAAAATGAAAAACTCCCGGCCACATTCATAGTGGCATATTAAATTTCGAGAAGGATTTTCCCTAAATCATCGAGTAAACTGTAAATATCTGGTGGCCGGAGAACTTCAGTTAATGTTATATATACATCGTAAATGGATCAAACAATCAAATCCACCACTTCGTATAACTAAATGAGAACTACGATTAACTCCGACGGAAACTCCATTAACAAGAGAATCTATAACTCCATAATCGAAACCACAACTTCACATGCGATTAATGATCAGAGAATCAGTAATTCCTAAATCATCGAACAAAAAAACTCGACTAACGAGAGAATCTATGCCTCCGCAATCAAAGCCACAACTCCATCTACTTTAACAGAAATGCGATTAACGGTCAGAGAATCAGTTATTCCTTACTCATCGAAGAAAATCTCAGATAACGAGAGAATACACGTCGATTGTTAGACACAAATAATAAATTAGTCAGCAATCAAAGCAGTGGCCGGTTTCTTCGTATAATCATAGAGAAAAAAATGAAGTTAACGCGAGTAAAGAGGTTAAACTGTATTACCTGAAAGAAGAAGAGAAACAGAGGTTTAATGGCGGACAGCTTCCACCATTTTCACACACATAATGGACGAAGACAATTCTAATCAGTATGGAATGTTTAAATACGGAAGGCTGGAGCGATTGAGGGTATAATTGTCATTTAAAAAGGTAAAATGGCGGGTAGGACTCCAAAAAACAACAAATCAGAACAAATTAAAATTTAAATAACAACCTCGTGATGTTTATTATCAATTAAAATTTTAAAACAACTCCAAATTTTAAATCAATCTTTGCATTTATTTCTTTTTTTAGAGATATTAACCGTATCTTACTTACGGTTTTAAAATACGTCTGATAGAGAAAATATTCAGTATATTATAAAACAACTTAGTTCCTCTTTGGCTCTTTCTGTATCAGATATTGTCCGTTTTATTCACATATGAACTCACGGTTCTAAAAAAAGTCTGATGAAGAATGTATACAGTCCTTTATAAGGCAGCCTTAGGGGTTGTTCGTTTCATTTTCTATTAAGACTCGTATGGATAAAGTTGTTTGTAAGATAACAGATAAGTTGTTGTTCGGTTGTCATGTTGAATAAACCGTCTGAATGTCATAAATAACCATTTTACCCCTGAATCATCTCTCGTCGAAATCTCTCTCTGATTTCCATCACAACCGAATCCTCCCACAAATCCCTCACAAAACGAATCTTCCCAAAACCCAATTCGTTTATGATCCCTTTCTCTATTAGGGTCTCTCGGTCTCTTGCCACCTCACCAACCTCACCCATTCGGCTCTCTCCCTCTGTCACTGACTATCTCTCTCGTTCGGCCCCTCGACCCGAACACCAACACTCGTTGATCGCCACTAACCGAACACCACACATACCCTTTCACCTCCCTCCCTCGCCGACTCTCACTCACCCCAAATCCACCCAATTCTCCTTGTTCGTTGTCCCCCCAACTCCCATTCACAAACCCTCTCTCACCTTTACACCAACCTCTCTCTACGCTACACATACCAATTTTAAAATCGGTTCCTCTCTTACTTTCAACGAGCCCTCCCTCACACCGATCCATCCCTAGCGAATCAGCGTCGTCCTTCATCCCATCTAACCTACATCTACAACACATAGACTGCTCGCCGAACTTCCTCCCTCCTCTTACGGCCCCTCATCACTACCCTATCGGAAAGGGCATGGAAGTGAAAGGGGGAAAAGAGGGAAAGGGTAATAGGGAAACAAATAGCTTAATAAAAAGCTAAGTACAAAGGATATCACTTTCTTAGCTAAGCGATTCAGCCCATGGCTGATTGAATAATCCCATACCTAAGAGCTGGATATGGCTGTGCGAATAAGCCATATCCTTTATACAGCTCATTAAGCTTCTACCGAACAACCCCTCTCAATCAATGTAGGGTATTATAGTAACTGGTTTTTTTTTCTCAATCAAATTTCAATATTTATTATTTTGGAAAATAAAATGGAACTAACTTTGAAAATTAATAACCTAAAAAAAAGGTTTTGATTTTATCAAAATACAATAAAAATAAATTAATTCCATTTTAATACAAATTATCATAATTTCTAATTCAGAAAAACAAATATATTTCATTAATTTGTTTTTAAGATTTATAGAACCCAATTTGAGTTTTGATTTTTATTTTATATATTTAATTAAATATAAATATCATCAGATATGGATTGAGGAGCTCCTAATTCATATCATAAATATATATATTTTCATGATAAATGTGAGAAATGTAAGCTTTATAATATGATCTGAAATTCTTGTGTGCAGACATGTAAAGGTTATGGTTTCACGGTAACTTTTAAGGTGGAGTTTGGGATTGTTTATTTTGAAACAATTTATGTTTTTTTATAAAAGTGTTTATCAATTTATTATAAGTTAAAATGCTTTAACTACTTCAAAAACTTTTTATTACCAGTTTGGCACCGGTATAAGTTCTTTAGTCAAACACTCAAAAATGCTTATTACCGGTGCCACACCGGAATAAGTCAATAAGTTGTTTTTATAAGCCATCTCAAACACCCCCTAAATACGCATTTCAGATCCATGTAAATATTACCTCATTTCACAACATATAAGGTAATACTGAAATAGTATAAAAATACCTTCACTTTTTTATGTGTTTTTTATAAAAATGAAAATTTCACATGTGATTCCAAGTCTATGCACATGTTCAATCATTTAATCTTAATCGGGTCACAAAAACAAACTGAACTAAAATATAACTGGTTACCTCAACAATTGAAATTTTCAAATACAATACACTAATAAAAAATAATTTGATAACAATTACTTTTTATAGAGTTTTTTTTCTTCAAAAATCAATATATACATATAGAGAGAGAGAGAGACTTGAGATCATGTGAAACAATACTGTTTTTGTAAGACACGTGAGACAATTTTTACACTTAAAAATTCACAACAAAACATTGTGAATGTAACTTTCACAATACTTTTGTTGTGAATGTTCTGCTTTTTTTACCTTCATAACATTTTGTTATAAATTTCAAGTACAAAAATCGTATCTCACGAAAACAAAACAGTTTTGTATATATATGTATATGAGGTTTTGTAACAAACTAGATGTTTTTTCATGTAAAATTTTGATTTTCTTAATGTGAAGGTTCGACATTTTACTATAAATGTTCAGTGTTTTGCTGTAAAAATATTCGGCAAAATCAACTCACCCATGACATGAGCTTCAAAAATGGTCACATAAACCCAAATCAACGCAAATCTTTCTTAAAACCGAGTAAGACCTTTGATCAAAAGCGTCACCAATCTATCAAATCAGGCAAAAGCTAAGCCTGGTCTCGACTCCAATCGCTTGAAGCCAATGCCAGACGTAAAAGGTTGTTTTTGTACGTTTAAGCGCCTTTGGACTCGAGAAAAGGCCAAACGCGAATCATAATAAAATTCCAAGTTTATTATTAAAGGGATACCTACTATTATGTACAAGAACAATCCTAACCTAACTCAATGAATGACATCCATATCACGGGTTCCCGTGGCATAAGACACGAATCCTCGACCACCGAAAATCGGTCGCATAACCGAATCATCGAACCTCCGCCAGTAGTGGTGAACTGTGTTTGTAGGACTATTTAGCAGCATCTTTAGACTCGATGTCGTTGGTAACGTTCTGAGATTTCCCCTTTCGGCATCGAGATCACCTCCGTTCCCGAGAAGCGGGATCGCCAACGACCTCGGGCTCGACGGTTCAGTTTCCTCCGGAGGGTGAGGTAGCAACATCCTTAGAAACGGCTTAGTCAACAACCCAAATACCTACAAGCAACGGTTTCAACAGCCGCAAGATTCAAGATTTACGAATCTAAAACAAAATGAAGAATCTTAAAATGACCTCTCTCTATCATGTCCACAAGGCACACAGTTTTAGAAATATGTAATTATTACATTTTTTTAGTTAATTAAAACACAATTTTACCCTTAATAACAAAGAGCGTAATTAATTTCTTTGTCTCATAATTAGGGGTATAACCGGAAAATATGCAATAGCCTTTTAAAACTGGACACTTATTTTGAGACAGACTATGTCCGCAAGGGAAAATCATACACTTCTAGAAATATGAAATTATGACACTTTTCAGGTAATTAAATGACAATTTTACCCTTAATAATAGAGAGAGTAACGAACTTCTACACCTCATACTTCAGGGTAAAATTGGAAAATATGTACTTATTTTTAAAAGTAGACATTTATTTTGAGACAAACTAAAATATAAATGTAAACACTTACCACTGTACTGAAAAGAACAATAGTAATGGTACTGGTGATCAAGAGAGCATTTGCAGGCTGTACGGTTTGACCAGATCCAGTAAACTGCAAATCAATCAAACATCAGGATCAGATTGAAATGTTAATTTTCTTTTTGGTAACTATGGATTTCTAAGCCAGCTTACGTGCACCAACTAATTCTGCGAACGACCACGAATGGCCTGGAGTCATCGCAGGTGAACCTAGGGGTGTAAACGAGTAGAGAATCGAGTTTTTAACGAGTTACTCGAGCTCGAGTTTGAGTCAAGCTTGAGACTGGTATTATTTTCAAGTTGAGCTCGAATAACCTACTACTCGACTCGACTCGTCTCGGTTCGTTTACACCCCTAAGTGAACCTCCCCAGCCACAATGGCTTTGGCAGCGCCGGGATTTGAACCCGCGGTAGATTCAATCATTGGAACACCTTTATATATACCTTTTATAACTATATCCCTTAAACTTTAGGGTTTAATTTTGCATAAAACCATTCAATTCGAGTTTTAAACGAAACAGTTTGACTTTTCAACAAAAAAAGTCAGCTGTCTTATATTTAAGCATAAATCTCCTATCAAAAACGTGTTTAGGTGGAAATTTTCGTCTTGAATCCATCTAATATCGTCTTAATGTTCCTAGGAAACAAATTACGTGAAGTATTTCTATATTTTCATATTGATTTTATTGCTTCAAACTCGATTTCCATTGTTTGACTTTAAGGATAGTCAAACTATCGTGAGTTTTCAACTTCAACTCTCGATTAAAAACGTCTTCTTTTATAGACTCTAAAATCTTCTCAAAACTAGTACCAAAAGTTGATTTCAATAAACGCAAGTTTACCTTCTTATAAGCAAGTGCAACGGAGACGGCACCGCGCATTAGACCAGCCCACCAAACCGTAACCTGCTGCTTAAACCCGACCTTTTCATGCCTTTCCTTCCGGGTTAAATTCGATAAATATGAAAGAGGGAGTACAAAAGCCGCTCTTCCAACCATAATCAGCCCGAGCAGCGTAGCACTCGCCCCAATGGATTTTCCAGGACTGCACCCACAAATTGAATCTCGGTTTCAAATAGTAATATGAAAGGAAGAGGTTAGCGATCAAAGTTGTTTAGAGTGGTTACGTGTTGTCTACAAACCGCCATTTTTCAACATCCAACGAGTCCATACCGACATATAGGAAGATAAACACTTCGGCAATAAATGACATTGTTGCAAAAGTATGCCTGCAATCCACACAAGCCGATGTCAATACTTGAGCTAGCTAGCACCTAAAAACCAAACCAAACGAAACGAACCCGGTAGGGTTTGGGGAGTAGAAGTGTGCAGAAAGTCTATCTGATCCAATTTAAACCGATCGATCCAATTAGAACTGACCAACCATCCAAATTGGACTGGATCCAAAACTTCAACATTCAAATTGGATCGGCCGGTTCTTGGATGGTAGTCCGGCATCCAATAAAACCGAATTGATCCAATCCGATGACCATCCAATTATCATCCAATTAATAACTATGTATAATCATTAACATTTTACAATATTGTTTTTTAGTGGTTTTTATATTCATTGTTTTTTAATAAGTTGAGAAATATATGAATGATTGGTTGAAATTGTATATTAATTGGTTGAATATTGGATCAAAAATCAGATAAATCCAATCCGATTCAATGAATAACCAACAATAATATCCAATGGATGGAACCAATCCGACCCAATCATCCATCGGCTTGGATTGGAACGGTTGTCCAATGTTAGTCGGATTGCATCTGATGACAAAATCCAACATCCAATGGATGATTGGATCGGATACGATCGGATCCACCTAAATCCATTGGATTTCCACCAATGAACGCCCCTACTGGGAAGGGTAAGATGTATGCAGACGTGATATCTACCCCAAAAAGTAGAGCAGTTGTTTCCATGAAAGATAGCTAACACCTAAAAACAAAACCAAACCAAAACAAACAAACCCAATATTTCCCACCTGAGATGGGGTATGGGAGCGCAAGATGTATGCGGACTTGACCTCTACCCTAAAGGGAATAGTGGTTGTTTATGTGAAAGATGGCCATCTAACACCTAAAAACCAAACCGTACCAAACGAACCCAGTATATCCCGCTTGAGGTAGGTAAGATGTATGCAAACGTGACCTCTACCCCCCAAGAGTAAAATAGTTGTTTCCGTGAAAGCTAGCTAGCACCTAAAAACCAAACCAATCGTACCCAGTATATCTCATTTCAAATTGATCTGGGGTGAGGTCTGGGGAGGGTAACATGTATGCAAATTTGACCACTACCTCAAAAAGTAGAGCGGTTGTTTCGAGAAAAGTTAGCTAATACTTCAAAAACCAAACCACACGAACCCAATATATCCCACCTAAGGTGGGGTCTGGGAATGTATGCAGACCAGGCCTCTACCCCAAAGAGTAAAGCAAATGTTTCTGTGAAAGTTAGCTACCACCAAAAGAAAGCAACTTTATGGAGAGAATCCATTTCGAGTATGGAGATGATTACACACCTTGTAGTCACTTGTGATTTTAAAGTGACGTTATGCCAAGCATAATGCGACATCAAGATCCCACAAAAGAATACTGTAAGGATTCCACTTAATTTAAACACCTACAGGAAATAAAGTTAGTTTAAAATAACATTCGTATATATATAGGTTAAAAAGATGGCAAAGCGCTTACTTCGGCTGTAATGTATGAAAGGTAAGCCATTAGTATCATGAGAGCTATTTCACGATCGGTTGAATGCCTACAAATTGACACACAACTTTCATTTAAGGCATTCATAGATAGTACTGAAATACGCTAAAAGATTACTTGAAGCAAGTTAAAAACATGAGATGTATAAAACCAATCAAACAAGCCCAGTATATATCCCATCTGGATGTGGGATCCGGAGGGGTAAGATGTACGCAAACCTGACCTCTACCCGGAAAAGTAGAGCGACAATTAAGTGAAGACCCCCAACTAGTGAAAATTGTGTGAAAGAAAGAAATACAAATACGCTAAAATTTGAGAAGTTAGATACGTGTAAACGATAGCAATATAACAAACTCGCTACATACCTTCCAAAGTATAACGTTCTAATGATGAACGCACATAGAAGTCCAACCTACAAAATGCAATGAAATTTAATGAACAATATATTGTTTAGAACTTTAAGCAATCAATTACTAGCTAGAAAATATAATATTCAGCCCAAATTAAATGTCCACAATGAAAAAACACTGTTTTAGAAACGTCTAATTATTACATTTTTTAATCAACAAAATAACAATTTTACCCCAAATATCAGAGGGGGGTAATGAAGTTATTCATCTCATAGTTAAGGGTAGAATTGAAAAATAGTCACTTACTTTTGGAAGTGGACACTTATTTTGGGATGGAGAGAGTAGATAAAGATAGACAAACTTACAAAAACTCCCAACAAGGTGCTAAAGAAGAACAACGACAAGAAATTGCCGGCAAATTTGTAGGCAACAGCTGTGTTCATGTCGGATAGATCAAAATTCATGACTGCATTAAAAAGTACCACGGATGTGGCATCATTCACCACTCCCTCCCCAAACACCAAACTGTATAATAGTGGTGTCTCGTCTTGATTAAGCACCTGTCGGGTAGTATAAAATTGTGGTTATGACATTTTACTTCTTGGTATGTAGTTCCTTTGGGCTACATTTGGTACGCAGACATGACAGGACATGATGGCAAGAGTGAGTTGGGTGAAAGAAGTGTGGAAGGTCTAAGGGGTGAGATTTGATATCTGGTGATTTAGTAATTTACTAATTTTGTCTAATCTCCATGATTTATATTTCCACCTATTTTGAGGGGACGGAAAAAATGCATCATCTCACCCGGGTCATGTGTTGTCCCATTCTAATGTCAAGTTTTTTGTTTAGTCATGTCCTGTCCCATTCCAATGTCGGGTTTTTGTTCTGTCATGTTTTTCATGTCATGCATACCAAACACCCTTGAAGATCATAAATAAAAAAATACATGTACCTGCAAAACGCAAACCGAATCTGTTGCAGAAAATATGGCTCCGAGTGCTTTTCCCAATCAGACAAAAAAATAGAAGAATTTCAATTTTGTGGTACCACCGCTTGTATATATTCATCTATGTAAGAATAGTTTCGAAAAGATGAAGGAAAGAGAATAAATACCAAGATAATCTTTGATCTCGAGGTAACCAATGTCGAGTTTAGGGAACAAGCGTGTTGCACCTAAAATCAAAACTTCATATTAACTTCTAAGAAAAAAGATATATCAACGAGCATATACCTAAATCTAGTTCGCCAAAAATCTGCAAGAATGAGGTATGGGATGTCACTATACGGGTCCTTTGGTTATATGGCCTTTCTGTCAAGTTCTTTTTTAAATCCATGACTTTCTAACACATTTGAGAATGTCACAGTTTAACACAAGAATGCCTAAAAACTTGTTAGGTCATGGATTTAAAAAACACTTGTCTCGAGGTCATTTAGCTGGATAACCCGCCGCCATACATATATATGACGAATCAAATAATCACAAGCATATACACATATGAGACAAATACGTAATCAACCGATAATAAAGGGACTTCAATAAATATCCGATCCAGCTATGTGCACAGAGACATTCTTTTGGAAGCATATGAACATACCATAAGATATGATGGCGAACGATATCAAAGTACCAATAGCTCCATACGACACAATGGTCATGAAATTGCGGAAAAATTGCTTCTTTTTCACTTGAAACCTAGAGAAAAGATTAACCCCGGTCAGAAGGGAGTATTTAAGGGTATATTTAGGTATATAACCTTAAATGAGATTTTAGTTTAATCCATGACCTTCTGACGAATAAGAAGTCATTTTTTCTTTAAAGAGGACACAAGGTCATAGATTTAATTAAAATCTCATTTAAGGTTATATACCTAAATGACCCAAGTATTAAGACACTAAGACACGTATGAAGATGATTACAATGGGAATTTAGGCAGGATGAAAATAACACAATTTTATAAAAACTGTGGTCAAACCCTCGCCGGGCCTACAAAATCCAAGGCCTTTTTGGTTGCTCACTAAAAACAGGCTTGGAAGACCCGGGCCCAAGCGTGAACAACCCCGGGCCTTGTGCATCTCAAAGCATAACTACATTCGTATTATAATTTACAAACCAAATGGACCCATTTAAAAGTAAGAAGAGAAGAGGAAGATACATAACATACCCAGCATTGAATATTATTGGTGGAAGAAGATACATAAAAAAAAACTCTTGTTGGAACTCCAATATCCGAGAGCTTTTACCACCAGAAGTTAGTAGAATAACACATCCTGTGCCTAGGCCCTATCACCACAAGATTACGATTGTGAAATCAAACAAAAGCAAAAGCAACACCCATAATTTTCATCACATCAAGTGCAGTTCATAGGGTGGGGGTTAGAATAGAAGTGATGAAGGGTCCAGATCCCTTCTTACACTTCTCACCTTAACTCCTATTCTCACACGACCCTTCGTCTATGTATGTATTTATATATATATATATATATATATATATATATATATATACACACACACACTTCAAAGAAAATGTTTAGTAACACTTACAATCAGAAGGGAAGTTATTGACTGATTAATCCACCGGCTTTTTTCAAGAAGATGACCGATAACTATGCAAGCGCATAGGAGGGCGGTAAATAAGGCGATCTGATCCACAAACTCAGCCTCCGGATCTGATGAACTCGATGATAACAAACCCATATCGTGGGCTGCCAAAAAAATACAAAAAAAATGAAAACAGAATTCCACCACGAACAGATATTTAGGTATATAATCTTAAATAATATTTTAATTAAATCCATGACCTTCTAAGGAGTACGAAGCCATTTTTCTTTTAATGGGGCCAGAAGATCATGGATTTAATTAAAAAACCATATTGTTGTAATGTTGATTTTATGACAATTTGTACGCTGGGTTTTAGGAAAAAGAGTAGCTTGCAGACCAATAGAAACTTCTAGACACTTCTGCTTTTAGTTTCTAACATTCATCTAAACAAATTCATGGCAATCATCAAAACCCTAAAATCTCGACCTTATAAAAAAAGATGAAGACCTACCGCCACAACAATGTACCAACCCAGAACGAATTATCCCAATAATTATACAACTATTGATTACAGTTTTAAGATGCCAAACAATAACCCACACGGTACACCTACTTCGTTTCAATTTCAATTTATTTTTTTGAATTCTACTCGTTCAAAACAAGAACAATACCAGAATTCATTGATTTTCACACCCTAAGAAACATAGAAAAGGGATCAAATACGAAAAGAACAAAGAATTCATACCTCAAAATCAGCTACAAATAGTAGCAAACCAGCAAATTCTTGAACTGCAAACAAAGTCAACAGAATCTCATATAAATAAAAACTTTTCTAACAAAAATCATTCAAAGACAAAACATGAATTTAAAGGATGTTTAGGGTTAAGAATTCTAGACGCTTCTATTTTTGGTTTCCAATAACATTCATCTAAACGGATCCATGACGACCCTCAAAACCCTAAAATCTTCAACCGGATGAAAAGATGTTAAATGCTACATCAATGTACCAACCCAGATAGAATGATCCTAATGATTATAAAATTATTGATTGCAGTTATAAGCTATTAAACAGTAATCCACATGCTACACCTATTCTTTCAGTATCATTAATTTTAGGATTTTACTCGTTCAAAACAAGAACAATTCCAGGATTCATTAATTTCGACCCTAAGAAACATAAAAAATATCAAATACGAAACTTCGTACCTCAAAATCCGTATACCGATAGTAGCAAATTCTTGAACTGCAAACAGAGTCAACAGAATCTCGTATAAATCAGAACTTTTCCTAATGAAGACCACTCATTCAACAGGAAAACATGAATTCAAAGGATGTTTAGGGTTTGCTTAACGAGCAAGTGTTGAATCTCTTGAAAGGCAATTTTGGAAAAACCGCGAAACTGCGGTCAAGGTATTATAAGGTGTTACCGTGATGATGGAGTATCCAGGTGCGCCAACATGGTCTACGCCGTTAGATTCACCATGATCTACGGCAAGATTCGAGGTGGTTGGGGTTAAGTAGGAGTATTAAAAGGAATTGAATTAATTCCGGATTTGGTCCTTGTAGTTTAATAAAAATTACAACTAACGTCCTTAAACTTAAAAAAGTGGTTGTCATTTTTTACGACTATTGTCCCTCTCCTTAACTTTGTTAACGTTAACTCTGTTAACCTAGGGGCATTTGAGTCTTTTTGTATTTTTCTTATATGTTTTATTAAAAACTTGAAAATATATCATATTAAGTTTTTTTAATATATATAAATATTATATTTAAAAACACAATGAATGAACAAGGACTCAGCATCAGTGGCTTCATCTCCGATGAAACCATCCCGACCAGTGGCTTTCGTCTCTATTCATCCCCTCCCTCCTTCATCCCTTTTTTTCTGCCACCACCCACTCCACCTCCACCTCCATGGATATGCTTCCACACCCATATCTGATTCATTCATCCTTGTCCATATCTGTTTTACTCATTATCTGCTCGATTTGCAACCCTATGACTTAAGTCATTTGATCTGAGATTATCTTTTACTTGCTCTAGGTTTGGTTCTGAACATATCTGCGAAAAATAAGTTTCCTTTACTGTGTTTCTAAACGAATCAAGAGACTTGTAAGGTAACATTCTTTTATTGTTTTTAGGTTTTTAATTTCCATGTTTAGTATGGTATTTATATTTTTAAGTGTATGATATTTATATACGACAAATGAAACGAATAAAATCGTACGCCCTTCTCACCTGTGGTGAGTTTTGAACCTCTGACTCTCTAGGAGGTCAGAGACTACGATACCGCTAGGTCAAATGTCATTTGGTTAGTATGGTTTTCTTTGTTGTGGTGGAACTTGTAAGATATAAACAGATCATATTATATAATGTGATTTTAGAATTTTTAATAGGAAAACAATTAAAAAGAGGTTAAAAAAACCATAATACTTATCAAGATAACTGATTTTTTAACGCTCTCCGTCAGAGGAACCAATTTTAAAAAATTGACAACAATCAGGACCAAATCCATAAATTTTCAAGTTCAAGACGCTAGTAATAAATTTTCATTAAACAACAAGGACCAAATCCGTGATTTCCTACGGATTTTTTTGGTACCAAATCCACGTTTTTATTTGAAGTAATTTTTATTAAATTATAAAATACATATTTGTGTTCTTATTTTTTTTTTTTAAATCAGAATTATGATTATTTTTATTATTTAAACTCTATAAAACTAAAAGATAAATCTATACTATATTATAAAGCATTTGACAAAAACTCTTAAAAATGATTTTTTATGCACGAAATACTGTTTCTTGATCTATATTACTTAAAATTTAATATTACAAGTAAATTGTGTATAAGTACAACTTATTAAAGCTCCATACTTGAATTCGTCTAACTAACTGCA